CAAAAAGTTAAAATATATGTATTGCACCATTTTCTAGAGAAAGTAATCATCATTATATTAGTAATTTTATACACACTTTACAGACACTTAGAGTTGCAGGTTATATAGTAACTTACATGCTATGATGGACTTTCACTCACAGGCACATAATGCTCAGCGAAAAACCAGGATAGTAACATGAAACCTCCCAGGTAAGATTGTAGATGTTTCTACGCCTGTACAGTAATGTTCATCACTAGGTTTGAGACAGACAACATTTTTTATTTCAATGAATTTGGAGAGCCCACGTAAGGAGCCAGATATAGCACAGTGGCATACATCTGTAATCCCAGCACTTCTGCAGTGAGATTTGAGGTGGAGACCAAGAGCCACCCAGAAGAAACCCACAGGCCAGCTAGGCTAGAGTGCACACCAGAGCAGAAACATGTGAGACCTGCCTCCTAAGCAAGGTGATGGGAAGGGGCTCTTGAAAGTTATCCTCCGATCACCCCGCATGTAGTGTGACATGCACACACCAACATTCACAAAATAATAAGAATAGTAAAGTTTTTAAGAAGCTTGAAAGCCTGAAAGAGCTTCAGGTTTCTATTGTGTAATAAGACACTGTGAAGAGCGACTGGGATATTCTTGGTCGCCCCTCTAACTGGGCTGGACAGTGGTATACTTAAGAGATGGCTCTAGATCGGAACAGGGCAGCTTTCCAAAACTACCCTATTGAAGTGACCTCTTTGAATCAGTGAAACCAAAACACTGACTTTAAAAAACAAAGGACCCATGTGGCACAGATCAATGCACAGTGCCCTCAGAATAAAGACTGTAAGATTCACGTGTGTGAGAGAGACTGAGAATGGGCCTTGCAGAAAACTACAGTATCATTGTATTCACATTCAGAATTCTTTGGCTTCTGATTTTACAATAGAGATACTGACTAAAGTCGCCAGCTTTATTTCTTACCTAGATTGAGTTGTTCGTTTTAGAAATGATTTTCTTCCCTACTGCAGTCTGAGTTTAGAGAAATGTGAGTGCTAAGTCATGGTTCTCCTTTGTTGTAGGTAAAACACAAGTCAAGAAGCTGGCGAGGAAGGTAAGACATGCTGGGGCTTTGTGTGTGTGTTTGGGGGGACCTGGAAAATGAACTTGTATACCTTAAACTGAAAGATTTTCACTTGTGTGTTTGTCCTAAGGATATCGAGGATGTACTATCAGGAATCAAAACAGCACGCTGTGGATCAACTTTTTTTAGAGACCTGGGTGATAAAGGTAATTTTCAATCATTGTTAAATTTCTATGTATATATTTAACTAAGTAGTGTTAGATAATTAAACTGGGATATTTGTGCCATGTGATTTTTTTTTGGTTGGAATAAATTTATTTCATCTGTCTGTAAGCAAGGTGTTTAATAGTTATGGCACTTTTTAAATGCATATTAAATCAGATGAGTTAAACTGTATCCCAGATGTAACAAAGTGCCAGGAAAGAAATGGACAAATCAGCAACAAGATTTGTTTTTAAATGTGTACATTATGCACAATGCCCAAACAATAGAAGCAAATACTAGAATGTCCCTAAAGTAGTGCCATTCGAAAGAAAACCCATCTCGCAATAGCAACAGTTTATTTTAACAATAGTATGGCACAGGATACATATGAAAAAATACATCACAAGACAGCCAAGTCCACAATGATGCAACTTCGTATAAAAACCTAAGTTGCAAATAAAAATTGGTCCTATGAAAAATAAACTGGAGACACTCCAGATCGTTATGTTGGGAACCTAAAATCCATAAGGGCAGCCTTTTACAATTTTACTCAAGAAGAGTAAAATTGGTGTGCAAAGACAAGAAGTCTGAGCTACTGCAATGACAGAATGTCCCTAGGAATCTGATCGGTATGGTTATTGTAGTAAGGTCATGGGAGGAAGTGCCTTTGCTCTTGACAGTTACACTTTCATATCCTATAGACACTACAGAGTCTGTGTCAAGTGCAATCATAGTATTAAAAGCAAATCACTGCAGCTCTCGATAGCTCATCGACAAAGGAAGTTAAATAAACCAGGCACTACACAAGAGAATGGAAAAACCAAATACCTCATGTTTGAAGGGAGGGAATGAGAAAAGAGTGATGTAAAGACATATGCACTTTTTCCTCCCAACCATGTGCTACAAAAGGAAGACTAAATGAGCCAAGTAAATGCTCAAAGTACTGAAAAGACATTGATTGAATTAGAGATTGTACAACCCACACAACCTGCTTGATATTAACTTATTTTAGTAATCAGTATCCCATTAATTAATTCCTAAGACAAAGTGATGCCCAATTTGGCATGCCCCCTTTCCCCAATTTCAAGATATCATGCATATCATTATTGTGCTGCAATTATAATGCCAGATAAAGGTTGGTTACACACAGTGGTTAACATCCAAAGACCCTTTGGGAATCATGACATTAGAAAATAGATAAAGAAAAATGAGCTACCATCTACATACAGTCTGGTAGTGCTGTCATTGTAATTGGGGTGGTGATGAAGACATTTGGTAGATAGAAGGGAGAGGCTGCTTACACATCAGACCTCCTAAGGTATAAAGAGAGTTCATACACTTTCTTGTTAAGTGAGGCTCCATGGACACCTTCCTTTCCCATGACTATAACCAGTGCTCTACCAGCTCTGCTAACAGCATCATTGAATGTTGGCTCCCCACCTTGACTCTTTGTCCGGATATTCATTGTGCAGTCACCATCAACGTATAGGCTATCTCTGATCACTGAACATTTCTTTGCACCAAGAGTCAAGCTGTTGGTAAAGAAACCTTCCCGGCCTTTTCCTACAGTCATATCTATTTCTGCTGGTGTGATACTCTGGAAGACGCCCCCAGCCGTGGCTGTCCAGACGTATTTGGCGTCGCAGTAGCCGACAATGGCGGCCTCCTGGAAGCAGCCATCGCCCATCAGGTTATCCACATAGCTCTGCCAGCCAGCCATCTTCGAGCCCTTTGCACTGCCCTTTGCACTGCAGCGGGGACGGCAGGAGCAGAGCGTGCCATGTGATTTAACCAGTGTTTCATGGCATAATAAATGGTTGAGAGATAACTTTCTCAAGTTTTTTTAAGCAATAAAAATACATTATTTCACATCGGTGAGTAAGTCCTAGAGAAGGATTGAGGGAAAGTGGAGAGAAAGGAGATGAGGCCTGTGTGGACATTAAGGAGTCCTGTACAAAGAAATAAAAAGGCCAGACAAAATGAGCAGAGGAAAACCATGAGAATGCTTCCAGGGGCTGAGAGAACATGGTAAAGAGGAGAGGTAGGCCAGGCATGCAGATGCACACTGAAGTCCTAGCCTTGGAAGGCTATATCTTGATGCCAGAGTTTGTCAAAAGATTTTCCCACACTGACTGAAATGTTGTAACTTCAGTCCCTGAGTCTACAGCACATCTCTTAATTTACACACATTGAACATCCTTGCCTCCCTGGATACAACCAACATGGCCATAATGTTTATGCTCCTTATTGCATTCTTAAATTTAATATGCAAATTATTGTGACTTTTTGTCTTCTGTTGCTGCTGTGCACTTATGTGGTTTTGATATCAGGGCTAATACCAGCTTCTCACAATGAGTTTTGCAGTTTTCCTATCTTTCTGCTTCATGGAGTAGTTTGAAGAGTGTTGGTGTTGCCTATTCCTGGTATGTTTGGTAGAATAAGGGAAAGAATCTGGTCTTGGTGTGCTGTTGTGAGACCCTTACTGCCTCTGTCTCATTGCTTGCTATAGATCTGTCTAAATTAATTCTATCTTCTTGATTTAACTTTGGTAGGGAACCTGTTTCTGTGAATTCATGTCTTCTAGTGTTTTTGGAATGTAGATTTTTCAAGGTAGTCCTTCAAATGATCCTTTGGATTTTGTTGGTATCTGTTGTAATGTGCTAGTTTCATATTTAATTTGATTGATCCTCTCCTCCCTCTCTTTTAATTTTTTGACCAATAGTTTTTCTATCTTGTTTATTTTCTAAAAACCTACTTCGTTTCATTAAGTCTTTGTATTGTTCTTTTAGTGTCCAGCTCATTTCTATCCTCATATTTCTTACTATCTACTGCTTTGGGCTTTGTCTTGTTCTTGTTTTTCTAACACTTTTAGATGCACCTTTAAGTAACTCAAATTTTTCAGTGAAGTTGCACATGGAGACCTGAAGGTAACCTCTGGTGCCCTCCTCAAGAATACTGTCCACCTCTGTGAGACAGGATTTCTCATTGGCCTGGAGCTCACCAATTAGTCTAGACAGCCAGCCAACCCAGGAGGCCTCTTGTTACCACCTCCTCAGTGCTGTGTTTACAGCATTGTTGGGGGTGGAAGGAGGGCATTCGTTCGTTACTAGTCACCCAGCCTGGAAATAATCACACAGAAACTGTATTAATTACAACACTGCTTGGCCAATTAGCTCAGGCTAATTAACCTATAATTCTTGTCTTTGGTAGCCACGTGGCTTGGTACCTGTCATTATTGAGGCATTTTCATCTTGCTTCCCCTGCATCTGGGTGACAACTGCAGACTGAGCCTTTCCTCTTCTCAGAATTTTTCTATTCTGGTCACCCCACCTATGCTTCCTGCCTGGCTACTGACCAATCAGTGTTTTACTAAACCAATACAAGTGACAAATCTTGGGATTTTATGTGGTTGCTGGTGATCAAACCCAGGTCCTCATACTTGCAAAGGAGGTGCATTATTGACTTGAGCCATTCCCAGCCCTACTGTGGTTTCCTAACATAGCAGTCATAGTTAGAAACTCTACAGATGTCTTACCTGTGCCCCAAAGGTTCTGATGAGTTGTGCTTCCACTTTTAAGAAAGTCGTCATTTTCTTCCCTTGTTTCTTCAGTGACCCCAGTGACTTGTTACCTAAGAGTACATTGTACAGTACAGAAATGCTTGTATAGTTTCTATAGGTTCTTTTGCTGTTGATTTCTACTCTTATTGCACTTTGATCTGAAGAGATACAATGAATTCTTTCACTTCTTTCTTATTTGTTCAGACTTGCTTTATGGCCTCTGATGTGACCTACTTCAGAGAAGTACTTAGAAGAATGTTGGCTAGAGTACTGTGTAACTGTCTTATTTGACCTATGATGCTTGAAATTCAATAAAGAATCTTCGTAGTTAATTTGTTCTTGCAGATAACCAGGGTTCAGTTCTCAGCACCCATCCATAGCTCCAGTTCCAGGGGATCCAGTACCCTTTGCTGACTTCTGAGGGCCTCAGGAATGCAAGTTGTACACATACATTCATACACATAAATACACATAGACAAAACACTCATACACATAAAATTTTTAAAATACTGGAAAAAGACAAAATAATAATAAAAAGAAAAATATAAAGGGAAGGAAAATGGCAATAACAAAAGATAAAGCGTCAGAGACGCTCTTTCTGAGTACTATAGGACTGGCGTCTGCAGTGGGTGTGTCAGGGGCACTGTCATGTGATCTTGTAGATTTGTGTCTAGCTATGATTCATGCTGGTATGAGCCTGATCTAGACAAGGGTTAGAAGTCAGCCAGGGCAGTCTTCACTTGGGTCGCTTCCTTTGAAGTATAGGGGCCCTCTGCTGGCCACAGTTAGCTCTGCAGAGGTTTTCCCATCCTCCTGAGATTTTGTTGTTATTCTGAAGAGCCTCATACTGGAGGGCACCTCCCAAGTGTGTTGAGCATAAGGGAAGAAAACACGGCCTGAGATCTTTACAGACAGACCTATTTTCTTCACCTTCAAACCCACTACATATTGAACACCCTGCTGGAGGGCTACAGCTGTGGACAGGTAGTTCCCTAGAGGTTCAGAATTCATAGTCTTTACAACAGAATCCTTGAGGTTGACCTACCCACTGATGTCAAGCTTAGGGCTGTCAGACTCCAGCGTTATTCTCAGTTAATGAGATCTGCCCCTAGCCACCAAGAGCAGAACTTCCTCCTTTATTCTTCACTGGCCAGCCCCAGCCTACAGCTACAGAGTCCTTGGTTTGTAATTATCCTTGTGTTCAGGCCCCAAGGTTCCTGGTCAAGATGGTGGTGAGGAGTGCCACCATGGAACTGCTCCCACTGTGGAGCACGCCTTCTCACCGGAGCCTGAACTGGGTTGAAGTTTCTGAGAACTGTGGGCTTATGCTGTGAGCAGTATTGCAGTCCCTTCACCATGACCACCAGCATTTCCTTCTGGATGGGCTCCTGCTCCCCACCCCGCGCCCTGGGGCTAGACTGCCTGAGCTTATGGCTGAGTCGCCTGTGGTTTCCCCAAGTCATCCTCCCACTCCTTTGTGGTTTCTAGTGCTGGTCCCCTCTCCCTCTGGAATCCAGTCTGCTCTGTTTGATCCTGGCTCTTCTCTACCGTTCACATAAACCAGCTACTAGCTCACCATTTTTGTCCTGAGTACTTGATGCTTAGAGTGACATAGGTCAGTGAAGGGTGCGATATGAAGCCATTTTCGAGAAATGGTTGTCATTGTGAAAATTAAATGAAACCTAGTTGATAGGCCTGGGCATGAGCAGAGGAGTTAGGAGGAGGAAGCTGGGGGGGGGGGACAGATAGTTGAGGGCATGTTAGTTATGATGGAGAGATGTGAGCATATTTCTTATTGGTGAGAGAAAAGGGAGCAGAGTTTAAGCACAGCAAATCCTAGAACATAGAAGAAGAGGGATTGTTTGAAAGCCAGAGGGAAAGGCCATCTTGCCACTGGCTGCTGGCTTTTCTGTTGCGCCGGGAGGGAAGCGTGACAGGTGGCTCCCATCTATGTACTGTGTGGGTAGCAGGGCCTGAGGAGCAGCCTGGACAAAGCAGAATAGTGGAGAAAGGAGTAGGGGGGAAGAGTCCATGGTAAGAAAATGGAATGAACTGATCGAGAAGCAAAATAACTGTGAGGAGCTTCAAGCAGAGATGTGGTTCATGAAGAATAGAGCCGCTGGTCAGCTGTGTGCTCACCCTGCATTTTCATGGAGCATCAGAATGCTACAGTTGAATTAAGTTAGGGCTATGTTGGGCAAGTAGAGGATAGTCCTGGAGGAAGCCATTAATATTGACTACTGAAGAAGTTTGACTAATTGTACATGGACCCTAAGTAGGATAGTAAAAAAGGAAGTCAAGTAGGAAGGGAGGTGAAGAGAAGAACGTTTAAAAGTCAAGAGAAAGCTGTCAATGAAGTTAGAAAGCATACATGGTGGGGAAAGAATGGGTGGTTTGAAAAATAAACATTTAGGAATCTTCAAATTAGCTCTAGGGGTATGGTTTACTGGTAGAGCTCCTGGCTAATGTGTGAGGCACTGTGTTTGATTCCCAGGTCCACAAAATAAATACATGTATACACATTATTTACTCTAGTAAATATTAATCAGTAGCTGCTTGTGTCAAGTTCTGTTCATCCCTCAGAGTGTCAGTGTATAGTAGGCAGCAGAGATTCCATTACGTTGCTAATACTGAATTACCCAGTGATCTTTACCCTGTAGTGTCCCTATTGCAGCAGTTCTCAATCCGTAGGTTGTACAAAGGTCGCATATCAGATATTTACATTATGATTCATAAATAGAAAAATTACAGTTAGGAAGTAGAAACAGAATAACTTTATGGTTGGGGTCACCACAGCATGAGGAAGGTTGAGAACCTCTTCCCTATTGTATCCCTCTCCAACCATGCACCAGAATAAACCCATGTGCTTTAGAGGTAACAGTCTCCTACAGTTTTCATATTGGGAGTTTGTAGGAATGTGTGTGTTCTGAGTCAGCAGACTTGGTTTTCCTGTGCTTGTGACCAGAGGATGCAGGGCAAGATAAACTCTGGCACTCATGCTATCTTCATTTTCAGTTATCTCCACAGGGATCCCAGAGTCAGGTGCCTTAACTAATAACAAAGTCTAGTCATCGCAGACAAAAAAAAATTGAGGAAGAATTTAGCAGGGATTTTGCTTGCTTGTTTTTATTTTCTGTTGAAATCTGTATTTCCGAGAAAGAAGGAAAGATTCACCTATACTTCACTGCCAATGTTAATAAAACTGTGTAAAGAACAATTTAACATACTCCATATAAGATCTATCAGAATTTATAACATAGCCAACAAAAGGTAGAATATTCTTGAGATAAAATTTACTATGCTTTAGAAAGAAAAGTAAATTATAAGTTATGCTTATTCTGAATTTTTAAACTGAACTAGATTATCAATATCACACTTGCCTCAAGGATGTTCTGACTATAAACTACAAGACACATTGTTGAAAGATATAAATATCCCCATGGAAGAGCGATAGCCCAGGCTCCTTGGGAAATACAGTTCTCAGAATGCTGTTACTGAACATACTGTGTTTGAGTGTGGTTCCAACTTTAAAATATTTCTGGAAGTGTAGAAACTGTTCACTCATTGCTCCTAGTGGCCCCTAAAGATCCTTTATCAAACTTTAAAGGTAAGTTTTTATGAATC